TTCCCGGGCTGATCCTGCCTTAGGTGTTGCTTCAAAGAGTCTCTCTCTCTCTCACACACACACACACACACCGCCATGCATTGTCTTTGAGCAGCAGGAGGGCAGTGGCAGAGCCCCCCAAGATCATCTCGGCCTATGGAAAGCTTTCCTTTTCCTGATTCTCCAACCATTCTCATACGCATCCGTGCTCAGGCTCTTCCCTTGTTTTGGTCTGCTTTTGCCCGCCTCTCACCCCACCCCACCCCCACGTCCATTTGGAGAACAGTCCCTAGGCGGTGGCTGTCCCTGGTGGCAGAGTAGGAGGGTGGACCTTGGGGTCTCCCCCAAAGACTGCGCCGCCCCCGCGTGAGAGGGGCCTCATCCAGGACCCCTGGCCCCGCGCCTTCAGCCTCCACTGCGCTATCAAGGCCTCCTTTCCACTCCGGGCCTTACCGGAGGGGAGGCGGCGAGCTGTTTTTGGAGGCGAGCGAACCATTTCAGTGGCTAAATTCCCTACTCAAGGAAACAGAGCCGGACTTGTTTGTATTTAGGGTTGGGGAGTCTTAGGCTAGTTTACTCAATGGTGTCTTTCCATCCCCTTCCTCTCCGTTTTTTCCCCCTTTCCTTTCCTTTCCTTTCCTTTAGGGTTGGGGAGTCTTAGGCTATTTTACTCAATGGTGTCTTTCCATCCCCTCCCTCTCCGTTTTTTCCCCCTTTCCTTTTTTTTTTTTTTTTTTTTCTTTTTTTTTTTTTGGTCCCTCCTTGTCCTGTCCTAATCCTGACCCACGCAGGCTGGTGGCAGCCGCCCCCTGAACCCCACAACCTCCGCCTCTGGAGGTGGGAGCGCCCTTTCCGAAGACGTACATGGCCGCCTAGTTCTACCCCTCTTTCTCCGGGATAGGTCTGACGTTTTGGTCGACCTGTATTCGTCTACGTTGTGTTTGTATCACGCACCGTCGTCGCAACACACACAAGCGTGTGTGTTTGTGTGTGTGTGTGCTGGTTAGATCACGTGCAGACGACGGCGGCGTGTACGTGGTTTTATATTTTGTAGTTTAAAAAACAAAACAGCAGCAGGATATATTTACAGATCTATTAAATCCTTCACGGGTACTCTGTACAGACGACCAAGGAAGGGGAACCTCGTCGTCTTTAAGAGCGTTCCGTAAAGAGAGAGAAAGCGACCCGACCCCTCCAGCAACCACCCTCACGCTTTTCTCTCCTCCTCCAAGGAGCGTAATTCCCGGGGGTCCCCATCCTGGAACACCCCCACCCTCTCTAAATATCTCCTCCCACTCTCGCCCGCCGCAGGGTGTTCGCAAGGCCGCATCCTTTCTCTCCCTCTCCGCCCGTCCAAAATGAATGTAATGCCTTCCCCCACCCCCACACAGGCCAGCACATAAATATCCATCCTTACGTCCCGTCCCCCTTCCTGCTTTTCTGATCGGCCTGTGAGTCTCCAGAGCCTCGATAATCTGAGGCAGCTGAGGCTCTCCCACTAATCCTGCTTTCAGCAT